AAACATATAGCAACCAAGTATGTGTAAATTAAGTATGAATCAATTAGTACTACTGTTAATAAATATTGATAAAATATTAAAACAATGATAATAATGATAAAACAAGTACTTATATTTATAGAGGGAATACTATTTTGATAATTATAAAGTCAACTTTAAAAGTTATACTAAGTAATCTAACTTATAGTTGTAATATCATCTCATCAAAAAGAAAAATTTACATTTATAAATACTACGAGATATTATAATGTTTTAATAGTGTTAATTATTTTATTTCAGTACCATTAATTATTTAGCATTGTTAATTACTTGAAATATTGTTAATTATTTTTATTCAATTAATTATTACTTTTTAGTCTACTTCAGTATTGTTAATTAATAAATCGCTTAGCAATTAATAGTATTAATATCAAATATCCATAAAATATTTTTTCTTTTTCATTATATGCATAGAATAATTAATACGTTCACATCGTATAATAATAATTGCATACATTTGAAAAGTTTATTTAGTCTCAACATAAAGTAACCTTCTTGTTTGTGAAAAATTTAAATTAATAACATTTTTTTTTTTCAAATTCACAAAACTACTTCCTGTGTTGTAAATTAATTATTAGTATCGGCTAACTATTTTTAGTTTTGTTACAACAAATGTTTCAAACTAATATTGATTTGCAAGAACAAAAAAAAAAAAAAAAGAAAGGAAAAAATGAAAAAAGAAAAAAAAATTAGCAAACGTAAAGTTTTAAAGTTTAAATTTTCTTTGTTGATATTTTATAACAGTGGAAAAAAAAAAGGCGATAATTTCATTGAATTAAAATTATAGAAGCTGATGAAAAATATCAACGGAAAAAACTGCCGAACAATCATTTATTGAAACATTCGACAAATTTATTGGTGAAATTCAAAAAACGACAAGTAAATTAATTTAACAAATTAAAAATTAAAATACATAAGCAGAACTATTATTTCTCAAATGTTTAGTTGTTATCAAAAAAAAAAAAAAAATTCATTATCATTTTAACTTTATTATTTAATTTGTTCGAGAAATTTCACTATAAATAATTAACACTTTTTTTTTCCGATTTTCAGTATAGTTCCAATTTGCATGATAATGTTTTAGATTATGATCAATTTGCAAATTGCTTTAAAGTAATAATTTAAATTTCTTGCAGGAATTCAAAAAGTATTTTTAAGCCACTCATTTAGCTTCTAGATAGAATGCTAGAAGTATCCCGGCATCAAAAATTTTTACACTTTTTTTTTTTATAGTCCTTAATACCGCATCTATCACATGACAAAAGCACACTTACATTATTTCATCGACTTAATCATTTATTTTAAAATAAATCAATCAATTATTTTGATTAATCAGAACTTAATTATTTAATTTGAATATGGTATTTTAATTCCCAGATTGAAACGTTATGTAGTCGACTTCATAATAATACCGCCTTTCTTGGTGTCCAGCCAACATTTTCCAAAACGGTTAATAATATTGATCAATGTCGTGATATATGTCTCGAATCATATCCTTACTGTGTTGCCGGTGAGTTTATTAATTTTAGAAAATTGTGATTTTAAGTATAATTCGTTACTGGCATTTATTAATTGTCGTTATCAATTTTTTTCTTAATCATTTCCATTTATCATAAATTTAATACTGGCATTAAAAATTTTTGTACTTGTACTAAATATGAGTTGAAATTTCGGCAATATCATTAATTCAATACTTTTATTAAACGATCTAATCGTAATTTCGTAATTCAATACTTGTATATTAAAATGTAAATTGAAATTTCAGTAATATTTTATAAAATAACCACTCTCAAGGATCCATTGTGCTATCTGTTTAATAAAAGTAGCATTCATCAAAATGTTAGTTGTAATTATCTTCTTTCCTTCTTTTCCTCTCATCTATTTTTATGAAATACTTTCACGAAGAAAAAATAATATTGTTTGTTTGAGTTTTATTATATCCGGAAAAACCATTAGCTGAATGCTTACTTAGGTTGTCGCCGATTTTCTTCAACCGTGACAAAAACTGAGGGTTCCTTCTGTCTCTTTAATTGGTAGTACCTCAAATTTGGATAATTAAACCTTTATTACGATAAATTTATTAATACAACGAACTTGCAATTACGACATCAATACAAATTAACGAAAAATTAAGAACGTAAAGATTATGCCACGCCCGATACCCTCTAACCAACCGACCTGTTGAAACACATCTTTCGAAATGATTTGGCTCTCAGAACCTTCCTCTTCTTCGAGTGGGAGGGTCCTTGTACCGTTTTATGATTACAAGAATTAGCTTCCTTATTGGGTGCCCATTGGTATAGGGTTAACACAATATAAGCATATACAATAAAGATGTCTGGCTTTGCTTTCAACAAAGGGGATTATTGTTCCTTTGTTTCCAATTCGCGATATCAGTGACATGAGTTTTATTACATCCGGAAAAACCATTAACTGAATGTTTATTTAGGTTTTATTATATCCGGAAAAACCACTAGCTGAAAATGATATTATTAATATTATTGAAATTGTTGGAAATTGTCATGAATTTGATGCTATACCACCACTTTCGGATATTTTTACGACATCATCAGATAAAGTTTCACGAATTCGAAGAGGTTATTTTTTAAGAGGAATAAACAAATGATATTAGTTGCAAATTATTTTTTTTTCTTTTTCAAAACGTTGTCTTTTTTTTTTTCTTTAAAATAATTTTGTAATAAAAAAAGATAATTCTTATCGATATTAGAAAATATAAAGGATTTAGAAGATCTTATATTAGATATTAAATTAATTGTAGCAAGTAATTTTAATAAACCTATTAAACGTAATGGATTATGGAGTGGATGGACAAAATGTTCCAATGGTACAAGTAAGACATTTCCTTTCTTTTCTTTTTTTTTTTTCTGTCAATTAATTATTTCACAATAAATTTGCAATAAAAATTTACAAAATGCAGTAAAAATTCATTAAATTCTAAACTTAAAATTTTATTAATTTAGCCTTTTTTTCCATAAATTATTTCACACTTTATCCTTTTATCTTTTAATTTTTAAGTATGAAATAACGATTATTAAATTAATGAAGTATTGAAACGAAGCCCTAATTATAGATATATACATATATATATATATATATCTGTGTATTATTAACATTTATTTCCTACCGTCGTTTTCAACAATATTCTACAAATATCTTTCAGCGTATCAGATCCGATTTCAATCATGTGAATATGGACGATTAATTCAAAAGCGGCAATGTTCCACTAAATTATCTTCCAAAAGATCATCTTCCTTATATTCATCACCATTTCATCCATATCCACCAGAACCATACAAACATCCTGATAATAAATCGTTTGAGCTTTGATTATTATATTTTTATTCACAACTGAAGAAAGAAAGCTATCATTTTGATAAATTATCTTATCAATTGATAGAATTTGTCAATAACATAAATAGTGAATCATATTATTTAATATTACTTAGAATGAAATAATGGGTTTTAAAATTCATTTTTAGTTATTAAAAAAAATATCTTTATTCTATTTTAAGTCCCGAATATGAGAGTCGATCAGTACAACATAAGAAACAGATGCAACAGTTGCGGAAAAATTGTTGTAAACGACAGAATTGGTATCGTGAACATGTACGTTATATTATTGCTCATAATTAATAAATATTACAAGTGTAACCATTCGAAGCAGTATACGGTAATTACTAATATGAGTATATAACTATTTTATTGCACTAATTTTTTTTAGGTAGGCAAAAATTATATAACTTTTTGCCGTCATCCTTGTCCGCCACCCGACTTATTGGATATTGAACAGGATCCAGAAGAATTATCGCACGACAAACAGCAGCAATATATCTTTTCAGAAAAGCCTATAAGTCAAATTCAGGAATTCAGTAAAGGACAATTGGATGAAATTATAATGTTACCCACTCCTGTTCCATTATTGTCAGCATACGAAACTAGT